TTAAAATATGTTTCATTATCACAATTTACTATCACGGAAAGCTGATCTTACTTGGAATAAAAAGAAAAATTGTGAAACTGATGCAGATATTATTCACATAATAAAATTATCACATTGTGAAAATTATATTTTTTTTTTTTTTTTTTGTGTTCTTGTTCATCTGCAATCGGCTATCAGCCATAATCAGATATTTTCTGAGGTTAATTTTGGTTGGGTGCGATTCCATTGAAAGGCACCGTAAGTGTTGGTAGAAACTGGATTTTTATTGTAGGTCAGTTTCTCTGGTCTAGGTCTAGTATTTGCCATCTTTTTAGGCGAGTTACATCATCTCCTGGGGTTAGCAGATTCTTAGCCAGTTCATTTGTATGTTTGGTTAACCTTTCCCTGTATCTACTACTGTTTTTGCGGATTACTTCCTTTACGGTTGGCATCTCCAGATATTCGTGTATTTCCGTGTTTCTCACAAACCAGTGTGCACATGAAATAGTTCTCAGTGCAATGTTTTGAAATCTTTGGAGGATTTCGATGTTAGAATTGCTTGCACAGCCCCAGAGTTCTATTCCATATGTCCACACTGCACTGGTTGTATGATGGCCTTGTACACAAGCAATTTGTTACTCAGGGTCAGCCTAGATTGCGGGCCTAGAAGCCAGGATAGCTCTTTGAATTTCAAGGTGGCTTCTGTTTTCTTGGCTTTTATATGATTAGCCCAGGTCAATCTTCTGTCCAGATGTAGTCCGAGATATTTCACGCTGTTTTTGCTTGGTAACGGTTTGTCTTCTATATGCACAGGTGGACAGTCGCCCTTTCGCAGTGTAAATGTTACTTGTATTGATTTAGTTATGCTAGGCTTGATTCTCCACCTCTGCAGCCACACGTTCACCTTATTGAGCTGTTCCTGTAGTTTCAGTGAAGCGTTATTCGCGTTCACATCGCTTGCAAGGCATGCAGTGTCATCTGCGTATGTTGCTGTTACGACATTTTCTGTTTCAGGCAAGTCTGCCGTATATATTGAATAAAGGACTGGGCCAAGCACTGATCCTTGTGGAACTGAGGCAGTGATGTAATAGAGCCTTGAAAGTTCCTCCTCATACTTTACTTGGAATCTTCTTTGATCTAGATAAGATTTTAGGATCATATAGAATGAGTTTGGTAGGAGGGTTTTCAGCTTGTACAACAATCCTTTGTGCCAAACTCTATCGAATGCCTGCTGAATATCTATGAATACTGCTGAACAATATTCTTTTTTCTCTAGCGATTGTCTTATTTTGTGAACCACTCGGTGTACTTGTTCTACAGTAGCATGTTTTTCCCGGAAACCAAATTTGTGATCGGGTATAATTCTGTTTTGGTCCAGGACTGGTTTTAGTCTCCGCAGAAGAGTTTTTTCAAAAACCTTAGATATTGTTGGGAGAAGACTTATAGGCCTGTATGAGCTAGGTTCTGTTGGGGGTTTCCCTGGCTTTACAATCATAATTATTTGTGATATCTTCCATAGCTTTGGGTAGTACTGTATTCTAAAAATGGCATTGAATAACATTGTTAAAAGTACTATTGCTTTTCTAGGTAGTTTTTTAAGGATTTCACCCGTTATTAGGTCGAAACCAGGAGCCTTTTTGTTTTCCAGATAGCTTATTGTGCGCGTTAATTCTTGTGGAGTGACAAGTTTTAGCGGTAGTGATAATTGCTGGTCACTGTTGATCATTATATCCACTTCCTCTTCAAACTCAGTCATGGATGATTGGTTTGGTTTGAAGACTTCGCTTAGGTGTCTAGCGAAAAGTTCAGCTTTTTCACTGCCGCTCCTAGCCCACGGATCGTTCGTAGATATCCTTATAGGTGGTATATGGTTATGTGGTCTTTTAAAGTTCTTAGTTATTTTCCAGAGTGAGTAATTATCCTTCTTATGAGCCGAGAGTGTACAGAGTTTTTCTTGGAAGGTTGTGTTTTGATTTTCTTTAATTAACTCTTTTAGTTCTCTAGATATTCTATTGAATTCCGACCTGTCTACATCTGATCTGCTGGTGTGTAATCGCCTTCTTTGTCTCCGTTTTTCTTCCAGTTTGTTGCGTATTTCCAGTGGTATGTTACCTAATTGATTGGAAGAGCTCAGTGTCGGGGTGGCACGCCACGCAGCTATTTGTATGAGATTCGTGATGTAGAATGTTGTCTCATCTATGTCTTCTTCTGTTTTGAGCCTAACCTTTAGTTCAACTTCATCTTCTAAGTATTCAGCAAATGCGTCCCAGTCTGTTTTATGATTATATAGCGCCAGTCTCTGTGCTCTATGTATAGCGGAAACGCTAAATGTTGCTATGATAGGGGTGTGGTCAGACCCACCATCAGACGATGATGCCACGTCAAAATACACATCAGACAGTCCCTTCACCACAAAAAAGTCCACTAGGTCGGGTATTCTGTTGACATCTGTTGGCCAATAAGTTGGTTTACCTGTTCCCAGTGTAATAAGTTTGTGTTTATCGACACATTTTTTCAACTCACGTCCTTTGCTGTTTGTCAATCTTGATCCCCAATGAGTGTGTTTACAGTTCCAGTCCCCACCACTTATGTATCTGTTTCCCAAGCTTTGAAAATAGCGGTCAAACATGTGTTGTTTCGGTTTATGCTTTGGTGGACAATATACAGCGCTTACATTGATGGGGCCCATGCTTGCATTTATAGTGATGGTAGTGGCTTGCATCCAGTCTTCCCGAAACTCGCTATGGAGGTGGTGTCCGATGTTACTCTTTACAATTACTGCTGATCCTCCGTGTGATGTGGTATCGGGATGGTTAGTATAATATACGTCATAGTTGTCTATCTTAATATTCTTACGGTCATTTAGGTGGGTTTCAGATATTAAACCAATGTCGATTTTGTTATGTTTTAACATTATTTCTAATTCTTTTTTATTTGGCGTTAGGCCATTGATATTCCAGGTAGCGATACGTAACGACATCATTGTGGAAGCCTACTGATGATTGTCATGATGAGGTTCATCATTGTGCTGAGTTGTGAAATGAGTTGATCGATTCTTTCAGTCTGTTTCACTATAAGTGCTTCTAGACTGAATCTATTTTCTTGCCCGAGTTCTATTTTTCTCAGGTATGTTCTTTGTGACTCATGGTCAACGTGGTTTTCTGTATTTGTTCTCTGTGAATCTATATGGTCAGCTTTGTCTTTCCTGTGTATCTGTCGTTCCGTTTGGTCTGTGTTATCTCTCGTGTATGATTTTTGTGTCTCTGTATGGTATGCTACAGATTTGGTTGAATTTTTGGGAGCTCCACTATAGGGTCCCAGGGATTCTTTTACGCTTGGTAGCCGATGTTTCGGTTGGGTAGTCTTGGAGTGATTATCAGGCTCAATGACTATCACATCCATGTCATTAGGGGGCTCATTATTTTCAGAGTTCTTAGTCCGCACTTCCAGAGTGGTTCTTGATTTTAGATATGGCTGAACCTTGTTTCCAATTTTCTTTCTTGCTAGGACTTCCCTATACACCTGGCATCCTTTGTAGCTAGCAGGGTGGCTTCCTGAGCATAGTGCGCATACTGCTGGAGTGCTATCATTTATTGTGCACGTAGTAGTTTTATGTGCCCCAGCACACTTTACGCATCTGTAAGGCCTCATACAGTTATTTTTGCTGTGCCCATATTGTTGGCACCTTTTGCATTGTACCACTGTCATTTTTCTTATTGGGTCTTCTATCGTGACTTTCTGGTTGTATATGACTTTAATTTCTTTGACAAATTTATTATTTTTCATGTGGAGCCACATTGACAAAAAATGTATTTAGTGGCTCTTTGGTTCCTTGTTTCCGGGCAGTAACTATTTCTCCTTGTACTTTGTTTCCAGTTTTTTCTACTGCTTCTATAATGGCATCTTTAGGTGTGCTGAAGGGAAGATGTTTAATAACAATCCTCATGCATTTTTGGTCTTTGCGTGTAAATGTGTGACCTATAAGCCCTTTACTTCTTATGTGCTCGATCAGAATCTTATATTTGTCAACCGTGTTAGACGAGATTATTAGCTGGTTTTTGGATACGATTTTATAGGTGTAATCATTCTTTTCAATAACTTCTTCGATGAGTTGGGTGAGTTTTTCAAGGTCATCAACACCATACAAGATTATTGGTGGTGGTTTAGGTGTTCTCTTGGCTGTAGCTTCTCCTAGTTCCACGTCTAACAAAGCAAAGCTGTTGTTTGTCTCTATATTCGATGAGGTATTTTGTTCAGGAGTATTTATTCCTCGGCGTTTGTTAATGATTGCCTCCCGTCGCTGTGTCTTTTTGGCGTGATGACTCCTTGAGTCTTTTTCTTCGGGAGACCGATTTCTTTTTTGATTTGGTACTCGTTGCCAGGGCACACTAGGTTTGTATGAATTTTGTTCCTGTGTAGGTGCCTGTTTAACAGGTATCATATGTTCTTGTTGGACTTGGGAGACATCACTGAGTGAAGATGAACGAGTTCTATTAAATAGTGCAGGGTGAAAAAGCTGCTGAGTCAGAATTTTTGCTTCTTTTCTGTGGTTGATTCCGCTTGGTGTGGCAAAATTCCCCCCCAGAATACGAGGGGCCGCCTGGGTATTGCTTAGTGACGTCGTTGATTGACGAAGATTTAGGTGGTGTTCTTTGCATTATGTTCCCACGAGTAGGGTCGAATAAACAGGTCGCTTCCAGGGTGACGCCCTTTTTCCCAGAAGAAGGCACAGTACGACAACGTTTGCCAGATTCGTTGAAGTTGGACGCTAGAGACTGAGTTATCCCATCAGCCATATACACCTCATGTAGGGGCATACACATACCTTGGCGCGTTTCCCACCGTAGTATAGGGGTAATTTATTATAGAGGTTTTCTTCCTCGCGGCCCAGATGATAAAGTCCAGACCCCCGGTCCCCGTGAGACATGACCACAGGTTTACGGTTTGAGGTGGCTCTTTCGAGTCACACTTGTTGCTTGATCGGTTTTGAGGCGCCGATGACTCGCCTTCGCCCGTCACAGTCAGCAGTACAGCACCTCCGCGTTCCAGGCGTCATTATTATTGATATAATCTATCAACATTTCATAGTTCGAATACTGGTTGTCCCATTCATTCTTACGGTCGTACCGGAAGTCGTCACCGAGAGGAAACAGTACCACATTGCTCCGGTACAGTTGTGATTTCTTACGCCATTGGTCCAATATTAATGACGCTCTTTCAGCTACATTTTTCTGAATGATTTTAATTGGAGCCATCCCCCAAGGACAATTCACGCCATTACCGGGTAATCTCTTGAAGTCAAATTGGCAACATATCTTAGGATCTGGGCCACAGGAGTGAGGTACGTCATATGAATAGAATGGCATCATATGTGTAAACATATCTGTTTTGCCCGTTCCATCCCACAATTGTCGCCATCTGAATTCTAAATGTCTGTCGCGGGCCAACTCTTTCTTAATTCTGTAATGTATGCGCTGAATCAAGGAATTTTCGAAACCAGCCAGCTTTAGCAAGTATGGCTGAGTGCTGGAATGGCCGAACGGATCAATGGACCAGCTGTTTCGTGGTGTATATCCCAGATTTTCGATCAACCACTGGTGTCCGGTAGTGAGTTGTTGAATGACTGATAACCAGTGAGAGTTTGCCTCATCGTTCATCACCCATCCTCCAGTAACATTGTGAAAATTATATAATTTCTAATAAAGTTTATAAATCTGTATGTATAAATTACCGATGTATGTTTCAGCGTTGTTTCGGTGAAAGAGAATTTCTACAAAATGTTTATTCTGGGATCTATCAAAATATGACATAAATAATTATGGTTCTATATTTAATGAGGTTGAGTAGTGAAACAACTTTATATTTTTGTCTCATTCTGTGTCATCAAGGAATTAAGTGTCGGAGTAAATATTCACTTCTCATTGATTACGTTACTAATCGTTCATAACGTTGGAATTATTAATATGCTCTGATTTATAAGGAATGTATAGCCGATGAGAACGAGTTTTTGCTCCACTACTTCTTGGCCTATATTTAATATTAAAACGGGACTATATTAAAAATCCAATCTCGAACAATGTATCAAGTTTACAGCATGTTTTATGATGAGTTTTACTCTCTTTATGCCATTTTACGTAGTCGGAGCTCATCATTCGCGTTTTATTGAACATCCCTTATTGTCTCCAATAAAAATTCTAGGGTATCGTAAAATTTAATGTATGATCCGCTGTAAAATCCTTACCTTAATAAAGTCTTTGATAAGATGGGTTTAAGAAATGTTAAGCGGGAATTTTACTGGACTTTTTGTATGTATCTATGTATATCCATTGAGTACTTGTGAGTTTTAGGTTACCTAAAAGGTGACCTTTATTGACATGAAACAAAAAAATCCATCGTGCATAGTAACTTGAATCTATTTTTAGAGTAGGTACTTACTATGTATGTTAAATTACGCAAAAAGACCTAAACTCTTTAGTAATTTGTTAATATTTTTGGTTCAAATTTTGTTTCAGAATCCTCAAAATGGAATCGTAAACTTAAACGCTTTAAATTCATACTAAAATTATTTTATTTTGCTTTGGCCATACATTAAGTTAATTGTAGTCCTACGTTACTGTAAAATTGTATACTAGCCAGTATACAATTTAACATTAAGTTAAGATTTCTTCCATCTTCTTCAGTCACGCTCATTATTTCTGAAGGCCGTGTTAGTATCACCGAACATTTAGGACTTGTAGCGACATCTACATCGGCGGCTACAATCACTGCAGTTACGATATAATACTCTAAAACGCGTTAACGATGTTATTCCGACCGCTTAGGATATATATAACTTCTCAATCTTAGCTACTGGTGTCTGAGGCCGGACAGTAAGTGGTAGACTGGTCGAAAATCCTCCCTATTGATTGAAAAAACTATTTATTCCATAGTCTCAGTTTTGGTTTCTTATTTTGTTGATATGAAAATAAACTTCACTAAATTACATTTACGAAAAAGAAGAAATGAATGGTTTAAAATTGGTTATTTTCGACATGACAAAAACTTCAGGGTATCGGTTTTTTGTAACGGGGTGCGGGTGTCGGTTTTTTCTGACGGTGTGCGCGCGCGTCGTAAAAATTTACTCTCATCATTTTTCCCTAACGCACCAAAAGAAGTATAACTTTAAAAACTATTAAATATATTTCCTAGCCGCTCTCCCTGTTACTATGAATATACATTTTCCAGTAACACGAGCTGGGAGTTAAGGGCTTCACTACAAATATTCTTAAAGTGCGTGGCTTAAGTTGGTGAGCATCAAATCCTGAGAAATCGCGGCAGCTCCAGTCAGCTTTCAACACGTTTCTCGAGTGTGGTACAAGGTGAGCCATAATGTCCATTAATGTTTCCTATAAAAATGGTCTCAAGACATCTTTCATACATGTAAATGTGATCAATGACGCAGATGCAAAGGCAAAAAATACTATAACTAGGACCAAGGCGGAATTAACTTGAAGTGCAAAAAACTTTTTGTTTTTTTATAGAACTGGGGGAAACGGGCAGGAGGCTCACTCACTTGATGTTATGTGATACTGCCGCTCTCAATGCCAGAGGGCTCGCGAGTGTGTTGTCGGACTTTAAATAATTGGCACGCTCTTTTCTTGAAAGAAATACTATAGTATTTCAGCTATTAAAGTGTGCAGCTAGTTCTAATATTAAGCTATACCTTCTTTTAATAGTTTCAATAAATTATTAATGGTGACCCACACAGCAAAAGTTTCACCTATTTAAATTAAACGCCCTGTCTTATGTTTTGTAGCACATCATTGTCACCCGGATAATGCAGATTGATGCGGCTCAACTCCAAGTAGACAAATTCGATTTGCGGCGAAGATTCGATGCCGTGAAAAATATATGAGATTTGCTCCAGCGCCCGCAATCATTTCACTTATATGTTGGATGCCAATTTGGCATTCCGGTAATGTAATATATAAATGACTTATTGAATGAAAATTGTTTGTTTGGTAATATTTATAATCAAGTCAATCCCGATCCCGACAGACTTGGGCTGATAAAAGATGTTAATCTTTGTGATTGTTAGGTCTTACAAGTGACATTCACATGAACTTAAAATTATATTCAACGCATGTTTCGATATGCGATAGTTGAAGCATTTCTTATAAAGGAGTTTGTTTTAATTAGGTATAACAACGGCAGTCAATTAGTATACCACATCATAAAGGGATAAAATCGTTGTTAACTATGTAATTGGAGATTCTATAACCAGCATTTACAGATTTTATTATGTATGGATTGGCACGCAATCCGAAGTTTAAGTAAATTTCATTTGATTGCCATGTGTGTTCATTTAATTCAGTAATTTGCAGATAGATTTTTTTATGTTTTCAATAGTTTTACAAATAGTTTTTAGTTAATAAACTAAAAATTCATATAATTTTCGAATATGAGTCCCTAATCGAGAAAGAATACTGCTTGCATAAACTTGTTCAATTATTAATTCAATCGTTTCAAATCTGGAAATTTTGAGTTGATGAACGAGATGCGCGATCGGCCGATATCCATTGTCGATAAAGGCTAGATAATTTGAGTTGTCTGGAAGAAACTGCATCTAGCAGTAGGACCGCCCTTTTATTTAATATTATTTTTTCCTGATTTTATTATTATTATAGTGAGAACTACGAACGAACTAAGCGACCCACAGCGAGACCCACTACGCGTCGAAACGTGCATAGCACTACTGAATCACCATAGGAACGAGCACACCATAGTGAAGGCAGATCTCAATCACCAAGAAATTGCGAACAATGATGGAGAAGCTCGCAATTAAACTACCAAGTCTCGTCACTGGGTCGCTCTTCCCCATTGCTTCTCGACGACAACGCGCGAGCACACACCACACGACAGACCATCACAAAGCAACAAGCTTTTTTTTTTATAGAACAGTGGGCATACGAGCAGGAGGCTCATCTGTTGTTAAGATACCGCCCATGGACACGCTAAATGCCAGAGGGCTTGCGAATGCGTTTCCGGCCTTTAAATCCAGTAACGGCAGCTCACCGTCACCGACCGAACTCACCCGACCTTGACCTCAACAAATTTCGACTTGTTTCAAATTAAACAAAATTAAGTGGTCAAAAATTCAACACCCGAGAAATAGTACTTTCGCTATCTTCATCGCCTCTCATCCCTCCTCTCATTCTACAGTAAAGGAATAAACCAACTGCCAACAAAAATCAAAATGGCAAAATGTACAGATGCTTTATTAGCTAAAAAGAAAATTATAATACAACATAAATACCTAATATTATCCGTATCTTTGTATCCACGTATATTAAATGCTACAAATCTGCTGGTCTTCTTAAAGAAACGATTTCATTGAAGATACAAAATACGCTTTTTAAAAGGAGCAATCTTGGTACATTAGCCCCACTTAAAATCCCATAATGTCTTTAACTTTTTACGAATAAAACTTGGCATGGCTCCCGATCTAAGTTATTACCCATTACAACAGACTAAAGAGGGTTGCATTTTTTTCTTTTGCGTAGTTCGTTTCTGTTTAACAATTAGTGACAGTTATTGCTTACGTTTTCTTTAGCTTAGGAACACTAAATTTAACAAACATTTATACAATAAAACTATTAACCACGTCGTGACCTCTGTGCTGTTTCAAAATCAGATGTCGAAAGAGTGTTTTATTTTAACTGTATTAGATTATTATTAATTCCATATATTCATGAATGATTCTGACTACTGCTATAATATTGTATAAAAAAAATCAGTGGCGCATAACCCTTTTTAGATCTGGGCCTCAGATCTCTGTATGTTTCATGATCATTTGTTAATCTAATATGCAAGTAGGTGATCAGCCTTCTGTGCCTGACGCACGCAGTCGACTTTTTGGGTCTAACGCCGGTTTCCTCACGATGTTTTCCTTCACCGTTCGAGGGAATGTTATAAATAACAAACATGATTATCTTGGTAGTACTTCGGTTGTCATTGAACAAAACACAGGTCTATAGTCTATATTTATTAAATACATACAAAATCCACTAGTGATAAACGTACTGACTGTAAACGTCACTCAGATTAACCCCACGCAACATTGATACATATGTTCTACTTATTACTAAAATTTTTCTTTCATATCACGTCGCGGGTTAGCTAATCTATTATCCTCCTTCTTTATGACGTGATTAAGGCTATTTTCGTGTGCATGTTGGATGTGAAGTATATTATGTCTCCGCATCACGTCCGGCTGTACGTCTTTATCCTCCCTTATTCTTTGCGTTTTGTTCTTATTGCCGTCGCATTGTATTGTGAGGATTATTAAATACTGGATCGTTAGACCGACCGTCAGTTGATGGGAATTTCTTTGGGTACTGTTATGAACCTATTTTGTTAATTTCTGTTGGAGATAACACGTAACATTGTATTTATCGGTCGGTCGATTTAAGGCCAATATATGATAATAAGCTGTCTTTGATCTTAAAAATAAATACGTTTTAAGTGAGTTTTTCCGAAGCACGAGTCTGAAGTAAAGTAAGATGCTTAAGGAAGAACGCGAAGTCGACGTTTTGTGGACGATCTCTGCCCCATATATAGGGCATAGATATAGGAAAATAAGTCAGTAAGTCAAGTTAACTTAGTGAATTTTTAAAGAATTATTTTCTATCGTATCAGCTGTGTACCAGTTTGAAATGCCTAAAGGCAAATATAAAGATTATTCAAAAAATATCCTTGATTTTGTATACTTTCACAACAAGTATCTTTTTAATCAATTCAATTAATACTTATGAAGTTGTTATGAAGCCGGCTTAAGCTTTGTCCCGCAAACATAGCCTCAATAACGCTTAGCTTATCGCAGTCGATTTCCCACTTCAAATAGAGCAAAATCTCCGATAATCGTTATAAGCCAAGGAGCTGCCACTTTAACGAATTATCGGGAGATTTCCATGAAAAAAGTTGTCACCCTCGAAAGAGGGTAAAACGCATTTGATAGCATGATTTTCCCGAGGCGAATGGAGAATGTTAAATTACAAGAGAAATGAAAGATAATAGGTCTGCACTGGGTTGAAGTTTGGTGCGGGGTAAAAAGTTTCTATCCCAATTCTTTGCCCCAAGGGTGCCAAAGTTTTAACGTTATGTATTCATCGTTTTATATTCAGTTCATTATACATTAACGGAGCGCCGCAATAATATTTTATAGTACAGAGAATATCTGGCAAGATGTTTTCGTCAAAAAAAATTTTGTAAGACTATGTTTTACAAATATGTCATTTGTCTACATACATTTTTGATGGGAGTTAGTAATTAAGTGTATGTTAAAATTGTTTGTGTCGGGTCTTTATCAATATTTGTAAACGTTGTATGATAAAATGTGAACGACAAAACGTGCTTTGAGATACACACTTAAAACATTTTTATTAATGTAGGTGTTTTGTTTGCTTTTGCAATAATTAAATAAATTGTTATTGTGCTGCCCTGCGATTCTGTAACTCACTTTTCGAACTCACACAGCGGTTTTCGCATCGGCGGTCGCTCTCAAATCAGTCGTGAAGCAGTCATTTTATGATTTGGCATTCTGATAAACAATAAACTACAAGCTCCCACAATGCCAAATCACAAAATGACTGCTTCACGACTGATTTGAGAGCGACCGCCGATGCGAAAACCGCTGTGTGAGTTCGAAAAGTGAGTTACAGTATTGCAGGGCAGGACAGAAACCGCTGATACTTCCTTGCTGACGCGTCGCTCAGACATAAGCTGCCGATTGAAAGGGATTGTGCTTACTTTGAAAGAATAGCTTTAGAGATACGCTGTACTAGTAACTTACTAAATTATCTTTTTCGTAAACCACCTATAGGGGAAATATTGATAATATAATTTAGCAAATATTATACGAAAAAACTTTCCCATAATGTTATAAAACCTACCGCAAATTTCTAATCGGTATCTCGTATATACCAGGTACGCTCTCGTGCATTCCGAGAGGTTTAAATAAAACGAGACGCTCAAGTTCATAGAACAATTTATTTTGAACTAATACGAACGTATAGTAGAATTTACGATATATAATATTTATAATAATATGAATACAATTAACAGAACATTGACGTAAAGCAGTAACTAAGTTTAACATTTCATAAAGCCGTAGTGATTGCAATAGTTATGTACAGTCGGACGAGCCGCAATTAAAGCTACAATATGGCCATGACAACAGTCTTATCACTAAAACATAACAACATTCAATCCATTCACTTAAAAATGTATTAAGCATCATCCTAATTCTAAGGCCATATATCCTATAAAACATTTTTCATTAATGATTACTAACACTATATATAATCATATAAGACCAATGAAAATTATTAAGTGATTGGAAAAAATGTTAAATATTGTATAGAAAAGTCATGTCTCCTGATTTACGGAAGACTGAGGAAGACTCTAGATCTATTTACAATGTCAAAAGGCTTTAACAGTAGAAAATATAACAGAGAAAGTAGAAACATTATAAAAGTACAAAATGAGCAGAATACTATAGAGCCGTTCGATATTCGTTGTGTAACATAGTTAGATATATACATTTTGCCAATGTGGCAGGTAAGGTAAGTCACTAAGGTAGTCCTAAAATATTTTTCGGAGCAGAGCTAAAAGCTTTAAGGTTTACAAAAATACAATGGTAACATTATACATTCACCGCAAAGCTTTTATAGTCGTATAAATACGCGTATATCTAGAGTACAAAAGCAGTCTCCAGATTAAATTCGGTAACGTAGCTTAGTGATATAAGTTTTAGAAGAGAAATAGGCGCTGAGAACATTAAAAGTCACTGATTTCAGGATCGGTGTCAGCATATTTACATGTAAAAGGATTTCTAAGCCAAGAGCAAAACGATCGATCGCTGTGTTGTTTATACTTAGCTGTGGTATGTTTCTTTGCGTGTGCTCTCGCCACGGCAGCTCTTCGTGTTGGGTACGAATCTAATGATGAAGCGTCAGAGTCTCTAGGAACTGAATCGTAGCCTGATTCTGCTCTTCTTGATGTTCCGGCTGGACTGTGCTTGCCTGTTCTCGGAGTTGATTCGTGACCACTATCGTAACCGTCTTGTTTGGAACTAGCTATCACTCTTGCTACGCCCTTGTCCCCTTTCTCTGAACGTGGTTCGACCGTAACCGCAGGAGGTTTAACCTCCAAATGCAAATTTGATTTTAATTCCCGAAAAGTACTGGATGGAGCACCATTTCCTGGTATTCGATTTTCTTCCCGAAGATTAGGATCCGAGGCACCGTCTGGATGTCTTAGTGAAGCTATTCGAGCATCAGTGATGTCATTGCCTCTATATCTTTCAAATGGACCATAGCAGTCATTGTGTGCTATTTCTAAATTTTGATATACTTCGCATTCACCAACAACACTACCCGGTCTCGACATTGTTCGTTTACAACTATCACAAATTTTATCACTTGGTCTGTACGCTGGCTCACTATACACAGACCCATCTCCGTGGTAATCATCCGTATCTCTAACATTACATAACGACATAGACTGAAACTGAGGTGCTATTCTCGTTGCTGCAAAACTATTTCCATCTGATAATTTTCTAGGACCATACATTTCTGTTAACTCGATGAGATCATCTATTCTTGATCTAGACGTAGGTAAACTGGCATGAGGATTAATATCAGGATTTTCACCAAAAGTTTGAGCATAAAACTCCATAGTTTGCCTTAGATAAGCCTCATTTCTTATTTGGCGTTCAACTTCACTATATAAAGACAGTGTGTCAGTAAATGTTGAGGCTACTGTTAGATTTTCTTGACTTAAAATTCTAAGTGGATGATCTTCATCATCATCACCTTCAAAGTTAGTAAGCCCCATACAAAATGCAATATCTTCTTCAGTTACTTGAAGACAGCAATCTTGCATAGGAACAGGCTCTAAAGGTTCTTCAACTTCAATTATTTCTAGTATTTCATCCTCATCATCAGCCGGGCCTTTACTCATTCCATGATGATCGATATCTCTACTGTGATTAGATACAATTTCATCTCCCATTCTCATTCTTTCTTTATATTTACTATCTAAACTTTCCATTGATACTTCTCTACTACTTAGGCTACTCGGCTGTATCAAAGGTAAAGCGGGGGGTATTTCTGCTAGTTCTTCACTATCATCATCTTCGTCTACTTCGCTTTTAGCTATCGATTTGGTTTGGCCAGATAATTTTTTAGACGATGTACTTGCATCAGGTGGACAAAAATTTTCTTCTTCTATGGCTATTGATTTTGAACCTGCTTTTAGCCCGGTTCTAATAGTAGACTCTTCTACATGAATGCGCCTTGAATCTTTAGTTGCTTCCATTCTATGAGTAGCTTCATTTTCTTCCGGTAACTTTGAACTTGACTCTTTTGTGTTGAAAGGTTGTTGTGGTTTATGACTAGGGGAATTATGTCGAGATTTTTGTATTTGACAAGTTTGATTTTCAACCCACTTTCTTATCATGTTTTTCTTATGGTTGTCCATATAACCATACCCAATATTTTCACCAGTGTAAGAGTTTAGAATTCCAAGTTGAAGTGACACAGAATTAGCGTTTGGTGGTATTGGTACTGATTCAAATTGTAATGGCAATTTTGATTCTTGCATAGGTCCGTCTATCCAAGTTTCTTTCTTATTTCCTTGAGTTTCTTTGATAATATTATGGCGAGCCTCTGCTAGTTTAGATTTAGAGATTCTGGGTCCATCGATCCATTGTTCGTCACTTGTACTTTTACCATCTTCTGCGTGTTTGGGCATTGCTTTTTTTATGGGTACAGCTTTTGGTATAGCTGTATGCAAAGGTGACGACTTCGGAGTATATGCAGATGGTAAAGCAGTTTTTAGCGGAGAAGATTTGGGAGTTGCATACAGTTTATGTACAGGACTTTTTTCTTCTACAACTTTTGATAAGGCCGATTTGTGTTTCTGATCTAAGATTGAACCTCTTAACGTTTTGCTAAGGGAACTTTTGATATCCCCCGAGCTTATATGAGGAATATAGACAGGTGGATGCTCTCCATCGGTCGCATCGTCTAATGGGCCCACATATATAACTGTATCTGCTGATAAATCACTGCTTGATGGGTCAGGTTCACTACTGCTTGGCTTAGATGCATCCTCGCCAGAACTGCCACCAGAGCCAGCATTATTATTCGAAGGATATTTTATTTTTCTACGACGCAGACGATGAACTCGGGATGCTAACTGCAATGTTGTCAACGTATCGGTGTAACTTTGTACATTTGGGGAAACATGTACTATCATAGCTGTGTGGCAAGTCAAGGAACCAAGACATTCCTTTAAGACGTGGGTTAGATTGTGATCTCGGTAGGGCAAATGTCGTTGGCCATTGAAAATTGCTAGTAGTATATTTCCTAAGCCAGATAAAGGTATCCCTCCGTTAGTTTTTCCGCGTTCTGAGTTTCCTAAGTCGATTAGATGTAATCGGCTTCGTCCTCCGGCAACTGTAAATAAAGAAAAATAGGTATTACTGAAAATCCTCTTACCTGCGTAAAATATTACACAGCCTTTGAAAATGTACTCTGTAGCTTTAGATTCTTATGAACAATCTCTATAATATCTAACGTGCACTTAGTCATGAGGATCCTTATCACATACATCTCCACATTTATAATAGTAATTTTTACGAAGAACAAATGTATAATATAACAAAAACATTAAGATCTCTAATTTAAAATTAAATCACAATAAAATTTATTGTATTAAAAGAGTCTTCTTTATAATATAACATAGAGGCAATAGGATACGATAAACATTTTGGTATTTTACATTATGTCTATGAAGAAATCCTCAAATGTACTTTTTAATTAAATACTACCTGCGCCTTTGCCGCCAACACTGTACTGGTAAACATGGAGGGTGTATAGTAGATGGCTGTCTTTTCCTTCTTCTCTCGCACCACGGGTTTGAAGAGCTGCATCTAGGTAGAAAGCCGCTTTCTCAGCGCTGTGCACCCTTAACTCAGACTGGTTTTGTAAATGAGTCCCAAACAGCGGATCGTCACGAAGGTATACGCCTGGTGATTGTTCCGTATCTGTTGAAGATATAAAAAACATCAATATGACAGAATTCAGTTCTACTTAAATGTTTTCTTACTAAAACTGAGTTAAGAACTACCGATTCCTGCACATGCTATTAAAATAATGAAAATAATTTCAACATTATTGTTTAAAACAAACCAAGAAAAGTTAGATCGGTTTCGCATCTATAGAAAAGAAAAGTATAAATATATCTATCTTTTTCCTTATCCAAGAAAAAGAATATACATTTAAACTTCAGTTACTTTTACTTTCTTAATAAGACTTTATATGGTAATTATGATAAAATACCAGTCAATTAATACTTACTAGAATGTAACGGACTATTTTTAATATTTAGAATATGGCTATAAATACCAATGTATTAGAAATAGTCAAAACAATTTAATTACTTTTGAAAAATCAGTCTTTAAAACAAAGGCACAGAATTGAGGTACTGATAACATTACTCGTCAGTATTATGTCGACGAACTTCAACTTGCAGTATAAAAGTAATTCGTAAATCAAACTTACCGTTATGGTAAGGGGCCAACAAATCTCGAATTTGATTCGTGTTAGTGCATAACTCTACAGCGGATACGCGAACAGAAAATCGTGTCCCGCACTTGTGTCGTTGTTCAGCAATCCCCCTGAACAGCCAGGAAATGGCACAAGGGATCACTCCAAGGGAAGATGCGTCCGGTCGCCCCAACATTGTGTACGATTTGCCTAGAACAAATGATAAATATTATAGGAATAATAATATTAAACACGGACCAATCTGAACTCCGTCAAAGGTTCTATGTAAATCAAAATTTGTTAGTTTTTGAGATATGAGTAGACATTTTGGAATACTTTTATAATCGTAAAATAGTTGACAGTTAATAAAGTAAAAAAAAAATTAAGTAAAAATTCAATTTTTTTAAATTACTTATCTTTGTAAGCTTTTCTTATTGTTACGAAACTTAGTAATCGAAGTCGCACAGTGTCTTAGCGAATGGCATAAGGTAAACCGTATGAAAGAGTAGATTTTAATTATACCAACACAAATATCGTTCGTTAAAAGTTTAATAACAGATTAGTTATATAACAGTGCTAAACGATCAAACACGCGTTTGATGAATCGTGAGGTTTGTATATATAAACCCCGGTTATTTATATTAAAATTAACTAAATTAATAAAATAATTAATTAGTCTTTGTGTGCCGTTAATATGTAATGAAAAAAGTCGTGAGGAAAGCGAAATTTTGTACATTTAAAAATTAACGCCTTATCACCAATTTGCCTATAATAAATTTATTAATGAAAATACGCAGATTTGTGTCTATTGGAACATTATTGGGCCAACAAGTATCTATATTGCTCTTATAAATTGTTGTACATCATTTTAAAAAATACAGACCTATCGCCTACATGGAATTACAACCCGCTTATTGTAATCAATAGAAAACAATGAACGCAGAAGACATTGTGAGGGATTACGGTTCTATATGCAAATTGAGTCGCGGCGAAAGTTGTGCGATGTGGCTGCTTATTTTCGGGATTGTCGTCCCACCGAGTGAATAATTAGGACCTCGTTTTAATTATTTCCAAGTTTAATTTTGAACAAATATCACGGAGTTATGGGATTTTCGCGCGGAATATTTGCTTTGCGGTTAATGTAAACTGTTCGTGGTAAGATTTAAGGCTATGCGGTTTCCTCTGATATAAAAATATACCAAAGAAAAGAACACTTATAACACAATAAATAAACATTATAAGGGATGCAACGGGCGGCCTTATCGCTAGCAAGCGATATCTTCCAGGAAACCCTGAGAGAAAGAGAAAAACTAAATAAGAAATATAATGAGTAAAGTGCAAGAAGTGCATAACCAAATGTTACATAAAAAAATTATAGAACCTTAATCTAAAGTAATACAAAAATAATATATATAAAAATAATAATAAAGAATATCAACGCATATTTTGAAGAATAAATAATAACTTTATTTAATTTTATATTATTAAAAATTTATAATAAATGTGTATATTTATTAAAATCAAAAACTACAATATTTTGTCTATTTAATGATGGTCTTAGAATATAAAAAAGCAACACTGCTAGCTAATACAGATTCGCCTTCTACAAAGTGCATATTGCATTAAAACATTGGCTAGAAACTTCCTGTAATATCACAATCTTAGCTCCAAGAATCTTTAGTGTAAAAGTTGGTAAGTTCTAAATTAGGTACAAGTAAGTTTAAATATTCAGTTTTGGTACTTGCAGTATTTATTAGACCACGGGCGCGCAAGTTTCCGCGAAGCATTTGCATGGAAATGGGGAACCCCGTCTTAATTGAAAGTTTGATAAATAAGAGCTTTGGTTAGCAGGTAAAAGTCATAATGTTTTGTGCTTAACATTATTGAAAATGTATTTAAAACCTGTTCTAAACATTAGTCATTAATGTAAGGATTTTGATGAAAGATTCGTGATTGCGTGTAATTCATCCGACCATGCAAATGTCCACGAATACAGTTCAGTAGATTTCCAAGAAAGAATAACTCAGCGATGGTATAAACACCTTATCTATTTAATTTTTGCTCATTTTTGCTAAGTAGCTCAGGAAGCGTTCAAGTATTACGTCACGCTTCGTCAAGATTACCCCCCCCCACCTCATGTAACGCGTAACGTTTTTCTGTACCCAATGGAAAACGTCTTTATACCTAAAAGTTACCATTATGTGGTGTAAAGTACTGGAAAGTCGAAAATAATATTAACAATAAGGCGTAATTCAATCCCCGCCCTGCAATGTAACATTTTACAAAAGAAACAAAAAATTTCGTTACGTTATACTTGAACGCTCCCTTAGTACAATATTTGTATGGGCGCTGATAAGGATTTGATACCTACCCAATCCTGCATGGCCGAAGCAGAAGAGGCAACCGTCCGTTCCATTAATGACCGCGTGAATGACGTCGGTTAACGCGCTTGAACTTATTTCAATCTGTAACAAAAAACATTTAATTGAGTATTTGAAGTACGACGTTGTCTCTTTCTGTCAAAATATGTTTACGCTGTGATAAAAAAAGACTGACTCGTGCTTCACTTAAAAAGTGCGAAAATAATATGATATTGTTTTTTTGTCAGACGATACAGTCCATTCATTACTTAAAGTGTTAGTAATAATAATAATTAAAAAGCTATGTTAGTAGAATTAGGTAAACTCAGTTTTCTTAGGGAATTTGTGATTTACAAGTCATTAGACTGTTATATTTTGTATGATTAAGTGGGAACGTTAACTATTTTAAACAATTTAAATTCAGTTAATTAATAATCTCACTGTAATAATGAAATAAAACAAATCTGTGGCGCTATAACTTTTTTAGGTCTGGGCCTCAGAGGTCTGTATCTGTTTCATGATCATTTGTTAATCTAATAGGCAAGAAGATGACCAGCCTCCTGTGCCTGCCACGCCGTCGACGTTTTCGGTCTAAGGCAAGCCAGTTTCCTCACGATGTTTTCCTTCACCGTTCGAGAGAATGTTAAGTGCGCACATAGACAGAAAGTCCATTGGTGCAAAGGCGCGAATCGAACCTACGACCTTAGAGACGAGAGTCGCACGCTGAAGCCACTTGGCCAATACTGCTCTTTAATAAAGTTTAATTAAAAACAATGAAATATGTGTTCCATTACGAGATATTACCAAGATACCTTTAGGCTTTTAAATATATCCTTAATCTAGTTTATATCTACGTAATATAATGATCGTTATAAAGGTAATGCTCATTCATTAGTATAATCAAGTACAACGTACAAAGATGTATGTGTAATGCATATTAAGCATTTATTTTATGAATGTTTATATTACTGAATAATATTATGTACATTAATGATGAACATAATATACGAGGCAGAAAATAGGCTAAATATATCCGTAAGGTCTTAAGGGTGTTATTAAAATTGAAGCTAAAACGTTCGAAGTTTTCAGTATTTTTAATGTATAAAAAATGTTGTTGGTTCCCGTACGGAGCAGACTTCTGTATATTGTTATAGGAAAATACGCGATCAGCTTTATTTACATAACAACACCGACCAGTTAATTGTTTTACCGCAAATCGAACTTAGGAATTCCCGGTTTTACGCCACGTTGAATTTTACTTTAAAAACTAAAATATCTCTAAAATTATATCCAAACAAGCAGTGTATCATTTCTGATACTCGTTAAACATCCCAGATTTGATCCCCGTCATATAAGATGAAGTTATAGATATGTTAACATACATCCTGCCATACATCATGTGCCCTGTCAGGTGGCTTATAGGTTTATGCAGTGCATTGCGGTACATTTTTCACATTTATCCAATGAGGGTTTAACTAATCTATGGCGATTTTATTAAACCACGACAGGGGAAAAATTGCTCCTCTTACATGTTCAATTTGTATCATTATTTATTTAATGTACACAATGCTAACTATAACCGATTTTGGACTAAGTGTTATCGATTCGATCTACCGAAAATAAAAGCAAGCCTCTTTAAAAGAACATGCAATATCTATGTCCAAGGCGACATTTAACAGTGTTTTATAAATATAATACTTAATATATATTTACGAGTATATCGCCAATTATAATAAATAATCTCTTTTATATAATTTATTATAGCGTTAGAAATATGTTTATGCAAATAAAAACATACAAAATCTCTGTACACAATTTCAATTATAACAGACATGCATAGAATAAGAACAATCGTATAATGTACTTGAAAATTTGGAGCTGTTAAAAACTAAGTAGACCTCTTTTGTATTAAAATACATAATTTAAACTTTAGATTTATTTAAATCAAATAAGCTTGTATTTTTTTTTTTTTTTTATTTTATTTTTGTTATGTGTATGTTTTTGAATAAGGTAATAAAGTATAAATAAATAAATATATCTTTACCTATTTACACTTCTTTGCGTTTTTTACGAGGCCAAAGGGATACAAACACAGATACTTGAAATAAAGTACAGTAAAGGTAATAATATTATTTGTATATCTTATAGAAAAAAAGTCATATAAAGTTTCATTAAACTCGTAAATTTTTACTACTATTTACGCAAACTTCCCCATTAAAGGCACGAAACTGTACAGAACACGCCTAAAACCTTTTCGAAACATTATAGAGTGCCAAAGGCACCATGGGAGGAACTCATCGAATATTCCCGTCTACGGTCCCTTCCACCCTTTTCCACAAAAGGAATCTTTAATAAGTGTTTCCACTCACACTGTTTTTTAATAAACAGGAACGCTGCTAATGATATTCGTGTAACTTTCGAAGTACGATTGACAAGGTTACGATTTTTGTGCTTATATTACGTTATAAATGTAATGTAACCGTTACGGCCTGGCCACGGGGATCGGCGGTGCGAACGGCGATGCGGGAGGCGAGGCGACCATTCACGCGGTGCCGTTTGCAGGCCACGCACCAGTCACGTTCGCCGCCGCGACCAGTAAGGAAGTTCGACAGCGAAATGTCTTCATCGAAATCATCTCGATATTGCTTGGAAAGTAATAGCTTTTGGTTCAAGACCTAATATTTGGAAAAGATTGTGGAGTACATGATTTAAATAAGAATATAAATAAGGGTATAGATGGAGAATTCCACAAAAAGTACGAGAAATACAGAATATATCCAGAAAAGTTTTTTTGAGTATACCAGAATGAGTATTAAAACATTCGATTATATTTTTATGTATATTTAACCAGAATTGGAGAAAAAAGTTAATGCAAATATAATTTTTTAGTTAAGCCAGTATATCAGTAATAAAAACTCTGTATTCATTTTTTTAATCCCTGCTCTATTCGCCGCGACTGCCGCTCGACTCCGTGGCTTGCGCCGTACTGATTCATGCATTTGTTTCGCTCGCCCGTCGCGACGCCAGTCGCCCGCGCGATTCGCTCGGTACATTTCGCCGGTCGCCGTTGCGCGTGGCTTGATTAGTACATTGCTATGAGTTTATTTCAGTCGCTAGACGCATCGCCGTTCGCACCGCGCGAATATTCGCATCGGCGAATGTCCCGTGGCCAGGCTGTTACGTTAAAAATCTGTTGCATTAGAAATATATTGATTGATTGATTTTATATGCACAATACGTACAATTTTATGTACACAATATTGCGTTAAATATTATTTCGTTCTAAATCTATATTTGTTATACGTAAGTATGGAATTTATATTATACGAGTACGTCTTTGTTAATGCGATAATCACAAATTTAAATGGTGTTACAGATTAGAAAGAAGCTGGACTATGGGACAGATTTAATATTAAATAATCATAATAATGTAATGCGTTTTGATATAAAAATTTATAACTGTTGATATGATTATAATATTCTTTAAGAATGTTTATTACAATAAATACATATAAAAGACACTGCGTCATTTTGGAATACAAATTATATCTCCTATCTTTCTAAGTTTATTCAAAGAACAAAAGTATCCGGCACTTTCAAAGCTTAAAGTCGTATCTGAATAATTTTATCAACTTATAATATTAAAAACTTATAACAATTTCGTATAAATTTTTCCGAAGTTGCTCCGTTATCATGGCGTTGTCGCTGATTTTCCGAATTTCAACATAAAAATTCCCTACGAATTTCATGTTTAAATTGTTAAAAGGTCTGGCGTTTGGTATTGCTATTCAGAATCCACTGAATAACTAAAATGTTAGCATGCATTTTGTAGACGTCTTTTATGTTACATTTATTGTTTTATAATTGTGTTGGGCAAATATAAACCTTTGAATAGAACAAGTTATAAAGCGATACAGTCCATTGTTTCAAGCTTTTATTTGTGATTATTTTTATTATGAATATACAATTATGATAACTGTATCTTTCATTGTTACACTGTTCGTTTATTTTATCGAAAAGTGCAACTAGTTAGATGATAAGCTAAAAATTAAGCATTTATGTGTCTGCGTTCTTAATGTTCTCAAAGTAAAAACAAACAAAAACCACAGCAAAAAAGTTAAAATTAGATTATGTGAAGGATCAGGTCTAAGGCCAATTACTAAGTGTATTAACAGCGACCTCTGTAGGCAGATGATCACAATTTAAATTACAGAAGAACTGTTAACTTTATACAAAAGAAAAAGTTTAATAGCTATAATAAAATACGGGCCTAAAAATCACCAATCACCGGCCTTGTTAAACTGGTTTCCAAAATCAACGTGCGAACAAGTCATAACTAATACATGTGAAAAATAAAATTCCATTAGTTCCCATGAATCAAACTCACGATCACGTTTGAGAGAACCAATAAGTATATGTCTAGTAGCATTCATTGCAGACACATGTTTCACAATTGAGCTAGGCGCGCACAGCCATTAATACGCCATAATCCAAATAATCCTAGCCGCCGCATTAGCCACTTACTATAGCTTAATTTGTAGCTGTTATTGCTAATTCCAATTCGGTTTGTTTATTGGTTGGTATGACTTGGATTACTATAGAATTTTTTACTGTGTTTTAAAACAATATTACGAAAAGGAAAAAACCAGTGGCCCTACGCGGTTTGTATCTGTTTCGTTATATTTTTTTTTTTCTAATAAGCATGTGTGTCAGCCTTGTGTGCCTGACAAACTCCGTCGACTTTTTGAATCTTGCGACCTCTGGGATGACAGTCGTAGCTGAAGCCACCAGGCCAACACTGCTCTTGCAAAAAGGAATATTGAAATTAATCGTATTAATTTTTAAAGGATTTTTTTCTAGTATTATGTGTGTGATTACATTCAATAATTTATTTTAAGCATCTATAAGTATTATTCTAAATACTTATCAAATTAAGTCAAAAAATATTATATACAAGTGCGCTTATTTAGAAATTATTAAACCCAATTATTTTATTTGCACAGGCAAACAAAAGCCACAAGTTTAGTGGCTTAACAATTTTAAAGTTCCGTAAAGTATATTAGTGTAATATATTTAACGTTTAAATACGATAAAATCTACTTTAACAATAGTACAATGCCTGTATATCAGTTTTACATCGGTTTGGGTTCTAGCCAAAAATTGTAGACGAGATTGTAGCGTGTCCGATTGAAATACACTATTTTAATTAATCTCTTACCCCAGTACAGATAAAACTTCATTGCGAAGAATATATAAGATATTCGAAATAATTATTTTGAATAATTTGAAGTATTAATCTATAGGACTTTGGCTTTTTTTTACAAAACTACTTTTATAAAAGAGTTTCGTTTTCCTATTTTAATAAATAATTATATTAATTACCACAAATATAATGCGGTTATTTTCACACATGTTAACCATTTTTGCCAAATAATATTTTTTAATTCTTTAGGGGGACTATTGTTATAGTAAGGTCAAAACTAGTTGTTTGTAAGTGCTACGCCGTAGTAAATGTACCACGATTTTCGTCCTACGTAATCTGCTACGAGATTTAGTTTGAAGTTTAGTAGTAATATATAAAAGTATTTTCTACTTAGAACCACTTCCATTCCACGTTTTCAAAATAAAACTGTTCTACTTTCCTCATAATTATTCAATTAATAACACTAATTCACCTTCAGCATTATGAAGGTGCTTAAATTGTTTTGAAGGAAAATTTTAATGAACTCGTCCCATCACTAATTGAAAACGCTTATACATAATGCCAGGGTTTATTAAATTTGAACAATTTCTGATAATGTTTTTGCAGCCAATAAAATATTATTTGGTGTAAGACTTAATTTTAACTCAATAAGTAAGATAAATAACCGCTCTCTTTATTATGATGCCTATAGATAAATATTTTTAATGTCGCAGATAGCAACTTGACAAATAACAAATACTTAACTGGAAAGACCATTACAATACTTTATAAGAAAAATCATTGACTCGTTAGTAGTTCAAACTATACATACAATTGTTAACGTTAACGTTATAGTATAGATTTATCGTTATGAAAAACTGTAGCAGCGCTTCATGAATCATTTTTGGTGCTTTATATATATAATAGAAAACCTATGTTTTGCTGCATATGTGTGTGGGTTTGATAACAGCAAACAAAACAATATATTGATAAAAAATAATGTTTAGGATTGCTAAGCGTAAGTCTTACCTGTGAGTCATCTTGTGAGAAGATTGCATCAAAAGCGAACATCTTAGGTGCTGCCACGCCCACTTTTCGGTCCTCTGGTGCACTGGAACCTGGTGCTGTCTCACATAATGTTACTTGCTTCTTGCGCTTATCAAGTGAAAAGGTCTGTGTACCACTTGTGAATGGGCCTTCGCCAGATGCACCAACTCTTAACATTACTTTCACCTGAAACAAGAAACACATAATTAACATATACATAAAGACATTCTATTCATTTTTAATTTCCCTAGAATTATTTTTTAGTCAAATGTTAATCTATAATCTTCTACATCTTACTATATAAATTATTTATAATTAGCAGTTCCTCGAACACGTGGAACAAACATATTATAATATCCGTAAGAAATTTAGCATGAGATAAAAAGTTTCCTTAGGCATTGTAATATAATTTACTCAATTAAATACTTAGACAATAATTAATTACAGTACAAGTGGCTCTTAAGAAAATCTGTCTCAACCCCTAACTATAATTAAAATAGTTAAGCACTCGAAGTGATTAGTTACATAATTCGCGTGTGTAATGAGACAGGAATTAATTACGCCTGTCTTGTTATGAAGTTTATGGGGCGTATTGTTCCTACATACTGATGCTTTGATTTAAATTCAACTCGTTGACGGTAAATTTTGTGCCTCGTTTTGCCATTGTTTTGTAAGGACTACATATTATGTTTTTCAAGACGCTTAGAGAATGACGGTTTCAAAAGTAAATAAAAGATTTTTATTATTCATGTGTATAAACAACACTTCTTTAACTTTAAACTAAAGAAAACCTTCAAATATATAATTAAATATTAGAATCTAAGCTTTTTTTAGTAGCTGGAGTTAAAATTAATGTTGAATGTCCGCAGTCCTATTATAATTCACTCTATGACGAGTTGATACAATAAGCCATCAGACGAGTAGAGCTCTAAAGCCGACGTCACTGTTCTGACAGGAGCGCCGATTTTGCACTGTCATAATATAGCGCTGGGTCTGTGGTAAATGTATTGATAGGAATACCTATATTAAAAATTATGTTGATAAATTTGGAAAAGTTAAACACGTACGAGAGCAGTGTTTGCCTAGTGGGTTCAGCGTGCGGCTCTCATCCCTGAGGTCGTAGGTTCGACCCCGGCGGTGTACAAATGGACTTTCATACTATGTGCGCATTTAACATTCGCTCGAACGGTGAAGAAAAACATCGTGACGAAACCAACATATCTTAGACCCAAAAAGTCGACGGCGTGTGTCAGGCACATAAGGCTTACCTACTTGCCTATTAGATTGAAAAATGATCATGAAACAGATTCCGAAATCTGAGGTTTAGACCTAGAGGTTGTAGCGCCACTGATTTATTTATTTTTATTTTTAAACTCGTACGTAAATGTTTTAACAGAGGCTGAATTCTGTATGAAATCAATTAGCTAGTTTTATTTTCACAAAAACATCACCTACATAATTATCTTTATAATTATCTTACAGACCTTTACCAAATGCAAATTAATTTATTGCGTTTAGTTTGTTAGCAAGGCACTTCATCCAGAAAAACCAGTAGCGTAATAATCGGACAATACAGAATTATAGTCGTATCATAAACTGAATTATTCGGAATTACTAGATAATTGAAGTGTACTGAATTAACGTAATAACTGAATTGTAAAGCAAGACACGTTTCAAGTTAGCATGCATGGCACGAGTGCCGCAATTACTTGATTGGGTTATGGAGGACTGAAAGAAAACGCTTCAAAAAGTTGGCGATAAACGGGATTTATAAACACAGGCATTGTTTGGTTGTGTGGCGTAGCTTAAAAGGCTTAGAGTTTATATAATATATGTATATCTAGTGCTACTCTCATCCCTGAAGTCTCAGGGTTGAACCCCGGTTATGCACTAGTGGACTTTCTGTTTATGTGCGCGTACACTCGTTGGTAGAATTAAGGAAAACGTCCTCATACCGTAGATCCAAAAATCGTCGACGGAAGTAGAAAAAACAAATGATCACGAATTAGAATACATAAATCTGAGGCCAAGATCTAGAAGGGTGTAGCGTTACTGTTTTTTTTAAATTTCATAATTTAGATAGATAGAGTGGAGGACGACCTGCTGCAGCTGATAGCCAGCAATTGTTGGGAGGTGGCACAGGACAGGGAGCGCTGGAGAAGTGTCTCGTTTCGGAGGACTTTTTGGGTCGCAGAGTCTATTGTATCTATATATATACAATAGACGCTATCTATACTATATATATTTATAGTATTGGTTAGTAAATATTTTTATCTAAACTATAACTTATTTAAGATTTGCTATGCCACGTTGTTTTACAAAACCTACTGGTCATAGTATGATACTCGTATAGTTCTACTGTAAATGACATTGTGGCGAATAATTCCAGGAAATCATCTAAACTAAAGAATTTTAAAATTCCTAGCTTTAGTTCCAGAGATTCGATTAACTAAAAAAAGTCCTTATTTATAAAAATGAAGATTTTAGTTGAAGTTTAATAGTGAGAATAAATTTGTGACAAATAAAAATAGTGACTATTATTACATTGAGATTAATGTATTTATGTAAAAGCGCTCGTAATTTTTTTGACAAATAACAAACCAGGTGTCGCCTCCCTAAAATAACTGAGATTCCATTATCACCCAGGAGTACTATAATATTCTAACGAAATGACAAACAGTCCTTGAGGAAAAAACAAATATGGCTGTCAACAAGTAAAATGGCTTCGTTACCGGCACAATTTTTCTTTTTTTCTCTCACAAAAACGTACAAGGAAACCATTTTGTGCGACATCAAAAATTAACTTTGATATAAGGATTTCATAGGATAACGCTCGTTAAAAGCTTCCTTATTTGATGTATATAAATTTAATAAAAAATATTATATGACTTGCTTGTTATGTTATAAAAAAGGTTCTCAGACATGGAAAGAACTGCAGAGAATTGGCAATGCTTTTAAGAGAAAGGCAGCCTAAGTTCTCTAATACTTTTATACGAACTTAATAGTGATGTTTTAATGCTCAGAATATAGGTGAAATCATAAAAAAATATCTCGTGCTGTTACATTATGTACCTTTGAAGTAAGCATTTATTAAGGTCATTTAGTGGATTGAGTCTCACTTCTCATAAAAAATATAAATTTGATATAATAGAATCGCATTGAAACTGTCACTTTACATTTTGTAGAGTAACTAATAGACCACAAGCCCATGAACAAAAAATACCTGTGAAATGACCCAACGTGAATTACGCTTAGAAGGCTGTTACTATATCTGAAAATAGCTCTGAGCACTATGCCGTCATTTCTGAGCGGTACATGTGAGTACATGAGTGAATGGACTTTCTCAGGTACAATTGGGGAATTTCGGAGCTATTTTCAGATATAGTAACAGCCTTCTAAGCGTAATTCACGTTGGGTCATTTCACAGGTATTTTTTGTTAATGGGCTTGTGGTCTATAACAACAGATTGAAATGTTAAATACACAATTCAAATTTCACCCAAGTTTTGACTTATTGAAAACGTTATTTTAATTAAAAATATTAGATAATGTAAAACTTTACGTTGAAAGCGTATTGATAAGTTACGGTAAATTTGACGGTAATATTGGGCCTTTGCAGCGATGCACGCATTCATGCATAAAATTAAGGGAATAATGAAACGTGCACCTGCGAGCTTTTGATATGTGAAGGTTGTGTGAAAGCTCCCCTAAAATTTGAGACAAGTAATTATAATGAATGGTTAATTAACATAGTTTCAGCATAGGAATAATATTTTTTCATACTATTATTGTGTTTTATTATTTTGATAAAACTAACAAGAGAAATTATTTAATTCAACATGTTTTTTGTTTTCATTGGCCATGAATTAAAAATTAAAGAAATTATTATAAATAAAATTATGCATAAGAAAATTGGTGAAAGTGTATCAAAACAGAAAGAAAACGATGTTTCATACACTATACACACATATATCTTAATATATATATTTCTTCTGTGCGTGTGTATGTGACTGAACTCCTCCTAAACGACTGGACCGATTTTGATGAAATTTTTTGTGTGTGTTCAAGGGGATCTGGGAATGGTTTAGATTCACAAATCAGCCCGGCAGATGGCACTGCAGTCGGTACTTTCATACTTTGCTTAATATCCTAATCGCTTTAAATATCATGCAGGACAACGTCTGTGGGGTCCACTAGTATACATATGTATATGTATTCTGTATACGCTTATTTTTCCAAACAGCCGTAATTCAGCCCAAAAAACTAATTTCCATATATTCGTATTTTATCAAACCAATACCGTCATAAAATCTTTCGAATCACACATAAAAGAAAATCAGCATCAACATTTACCTTACTGCGATTTACATAACCCTGTGCGTGTCGATAAAGTGTTGGTGCGATGCGACGACAAATTTGTTCGGGTCGCTCGTAAAGAATTTTGGAATAAGGTCAGGCGAGGTTTGTATATTGACACCTATTTGGCTTTGCGCGGCTTCGTACTTGTATCAGCATCTAAGGTTCATATCTCTTCTAATGCGGTTTTATTATTTTATTCTAGGTTTAAAATAAATATTTAATTTAAACGCTCAAAGATTCACAGAAACAAAATTTATTTACCTACGCGAATAATACACATTTAAGTGATAGTAATTTAATTCATACGAACTAGAACTTTTAACGAAGTTTTATTTAAATCAATATAAATAATCAATCACTCTACGATTTTACTATTTATAACTAAAGTTATATATAAGTAAAAATTTTTGCTGAAGTTATGTCGGGTATGTATGTCATACATCTAATTTATACGTACACTAGCGTTCGTTGTCTGTAGGTTGTATATCGGACAACTCCACAATAACATTGTATAAAGTGAACATAATAAGCGATGCTCTACACAAAGATTAACAACAGCACACTGGGCATTCAAACTAGCACAAGTCTAATGTATTATTAATGGAAGTGCGCGGCGAAAGTACATATACACTAGTGTCATTTTTATTAATTTTCCTTATATATACATCGTTATATAGTTAGGTAAATAAAATTACTGCCTGCTTATTGGTTACAGTAAGATACACAGGTGCTGCCTTCGATTCCCGGAAAAAAATATTTGTTCGGATATCTCGTAACGCTGATCACCTAGGTTGGTGGTCAATGGAGCAGATGTAGAAA